TTTTGTTTCATACCTGACAGTTTCGACTGCTCACTAGTGTCTTCCTCAGAGTCACATGATGTTGCTGTGACGTGTCGCTCAGTTGATTTAAACAGGTTTTGGTTCTGTCTTCCTACCGGTGGAGGCAGGACGACAGCACCACCTACAGTCCCACTTCCTCAGGACAGTATCCCAGGTGTGTGAGAGTAAAAAAGCCCCTCGTCCCGGTTTATCGTCCCGTGGGCACGATTCAGTATTTTGGTTGCCTCCAGCGACAATGTTTGTTTTCCTCTGTCCCAGTGATGTTTGCTCCATCCCAGTCCAGAATGTGCTTCTCTCTTTTACGATGGTCAGAAATGAACAATTTGAGTTGTTCCTGTTCTGCTTTGTGTTTTGCTGCTCGTGTGCACGCCTTCACTGTTTCCTTCTCACATTCTGATCTGTGCTCCTTTTTGCATGGACTGAACGTCCTCCCTGTTTCCTCGATGTGTGTTTTATTGCAGGACATGCAGGTGTTTCGTATATGACGTTACATTTATGCTCCGGTTCTATTTTGTCTTTCGGGTGGACAGTGTTGGGGAGTAAAATATTACATGTACCAATATTACATAATTAGAGTACAAATTATGAGTTACTGTTTCAGTGAGTGGTAATTGGATTACAGTTACTTTGTTGAAATAAATGGATTAGATGGCGGTGTTTTCCTGTTTTCACATTTTGGGCTAAACCAGGTCTAAACCAGGACTAAACCAGGTCTAAACCAGGTCTAAACCAGGCCTTAACCAGGACTAAACCAGGACTAACCCAGGACTAACCCAGGACTAAACCAGGACTAAACCAGGACTAACCCAGGACTAACCCAGGACTAATCCAGGACTAAACCAGGACTAAACCAGGACTAAACCAGGTCTAAACCAGGTCTAAACCAGGACTAACCCAGGACTAACCCAGGACTAACCCAGGACTAATCCAGGACTAAACCAGGACTAAACCAGGTCTAAACCAGGACTAAACCAGGACTAAACTAGGACTAAACCCGGACTAAACCAGGACTAAACCAGGACTAACCCAGGACTAACCCAGGACTAAACCAGGAATAAACTAGGACTAAACCAGGACTAACCCAGGACTAAACCAGGACTAAACTAGGACTAAACCCGGTCTAAACAGTATGAGACCTAACAGTAGGTGGACATACTCATATAAATTTCTCATTTCTGATATAAAAATAATTTCTCTATCAATAATATTTTTAATCTGGTTAAGTCAAGACTGGACTTTTTATTTTCTTTTACCAGATAAAACATCTTATGTTCAGATTTCCTGGTCTTTGCTTCTCTACAGTAAAACAAAAGTCTGTTCATGGAGACTTGGGCTCAACACACAATTTGAGGAGAAAAAACAAGAATTTTCAGAATGTGGTTGATACATTCATGTAGTTTTAAAAAGCATGACAATATCAAGTAATCCAAAGTATTCAGATTACATTACTCACTTTAAGTAATTTAATGGATTATGTTACAAACTACATTTTATGGTATGTAATCTGTAATCTGTAGGGGAATACATTTTAAAAGTCACCTTCCCAACACTGCGGGACGAGGAGTTGAGTCTAAGTCTGAGTTTTCTGTTCTGTTTCACTGGTGTGTTCATATTGTGTTCTTTCATCACCCTCTACAATTTTTCTGTTATGCCCCTGATGTAAGGTATTGTTCCCATGCTTGTGCTCCTTTTTTCTGTTTTGTTTTTGTTTCTCTGGTTCTGTTTTTCTTTCTCTCTAACCTGTTGTTTCCCTTTGTTTATTGCCCATTTTGGGTATTGGCATTGCCTTAGCGCATTGTGAATGTGTCTGTCTTCTTCCTGTTTGTCAGTCAGTTTGCTGAAACTGTCAGGTATGAAACAAAACTCTAGGTCTGAAAAAAAGAACCTAATAACATAAAATATCGAAAGACAACACCTGGGCAGTGATTTTAAAGCTCCTGTATTGCACTAAATGGATTCTCTCGAGTTGTAAAGCCAAGTTATAATGTTGTTACTTCATCAAAAACATACATAACTCTTTATTATTAGTCTGTCTACATCTCCAAAGCTCAAAATGTTCTACTCCACCTTGTGATGTCATGTATGTAGTGGTAGATTTTAAGTTGACAGCTCCATGTCTGAAATTATCCAAATGATTATAGTGCAGGTGTGTGGAGTGTAAAAACACAGTGGAGCACTTCCTGAGAGTTTCCAGTTTGAGAGAGTTGAGAGTTTGTGTGTTAAACATGTGAATGAAACAAAACACAACTCCTGCCCCAGAGGGAGGAGTTTTAAAGTGAAACTGCTCTGACTTTCTCTGTGGTCTGTTAACGGGCTATAGGCTCATTATGGGTCGTTAAGGGCCTATTATAATTTGGCTGACTGTCCTTCAGCTCTGTTAAGGACCTCATTACCCTTTGATTGGCTCCATCTCTCACTATTTCAAGGTAAACAGCTGCTGTCTTACTCCACCGTAGGGATTCTCTTTCTTCACAAAAACCCTTCTTTCATACACTTCTCTTTCTCAACAACCCCCTTGTGCTTAAACTGTGCACTTCACCATCTTCAAATGAGCAGTTTGTGGCTTTAAAAGACCAATATTGGGTTATTTTCTGATCTATGCTATAGTGTAGTTTCTTCATCACAAACAGACCAGGAGTTGTGTTTTCTTTCATTCACACAACTTTTTTAGGCTGAGTTCTTCTCTCAAACAGAAAAAAACAAAACAAAAAACAAACAAACAAAACAAAAAAAAAAAAAAAACTGTTCCACCTTCCACTGTGTTTTTAAACTCCACACACTTCACTAGAATCATTTGGATGATTTCAGACCTGGACTTGCCGATCTCTACTGAACTAAACGTAAAAGGAGCTGTTCATTTGAAAACTATCACTTCATGACATCACAAAGTGGAACAGCATTTTGAGCTTTGGAGACAGACTGATAATAAAGAGTTACTCAAACATGTGTGAATGAAACAAAACACAAGTCCAGGTCTGTTTTTGAGATGGTAACAGTATTCTAACATGGCTCAAAGCTCGCAAGAGTCAATTGAGTGTCATATAAGACCTTTAAGTTGAAGTTGGACCGTAGACACCAGCACAAACACAGATCGGATATATAACGTAGGGTATTCACTGGAATAAACTCATTACAGTCAAGACATTCTCATTGTGGCAATACAAATAAACAGTGTTATCCTAACTCCCTAAATGATTGGCATTTTGTTTTAGAAAAAAGCCCTACAGCCTTAAATTTAACCAAATGAACTGTTATTAATCCTAATTCCAACCCTAACTTTAACCTCATACTGAAATAATGTCTCAAAAATAAACAGTTGCTAAAAAAACAGAAGAGCTTTGTGTCCAACCCATAGACTGTATGGACATAGCCAACCCGCTAGCCTCTGTGTTCCAAATAGGAAGTGTTCATGGGGGCACGTCTAGCTCCATTAATTCTGTCTCCATTCACATTCCATTGAAAAATTGTCTCCCCTCTCTGTAACTTGTGCTGTGAACCTTGTCATTTTGGTTTCTAAATGTTTGTATTAACCCACTTTACATGATCCTGTTTTTTGTTTTGCTATTTTATCCTTAAATAAATTCCTATTCCTAATGTGGAACTCATCTTCAGATTCATCCCTATAAGTGCAGGCCTGATGAGCTTCATTTGACTGGAGCAGAGCAGTATGGGTGATGTTACATTCCCTGTCCACTTCTTTATACAGAAGTGGTTTAACCAGAAAATGAAATAATTAATGTCACAAACTAGGGAAAAACAAAGTAAAAATCTTAACTGGGATGATCTTAACACTGTAGTGAAATGTGCAGTGTAACGTGTAACACGTGTAACACATGTAACGAGTGTAGTGTGTGTAACGTGTGCAACATGAGTAATGTGAGTAACGTGTGCAGCGTGGGTGTAACGTGTGTAAGCATGTGTAATGTGTGTAAAGTGTGTAGTGTGTGTAACGTGTGTAGCATGTGTAATGTGTGTAAAGTGTGTAGTGTGTGTAGCATGTGTAATGTGTGTAAAGTGTGTAGTGTGTGTAACGTGTGTAGCAGGTGTAATGTGTGTAAAGTGTGTAGCGTGTGTAACGTGTGTAACATGTGTAGCGTGTGTAACGTGTGTAGCATGTGTAATGTGTGTAAAGTGTGTAGCGTGTGTAACGTGTGTAGCGTGTGTAACGTGTGTAGCATGTGTAATGTGTGTAACATGTGTAACGTGTGTAACGTGTGTAGCATGTGTAATGTGTGTAACGTGTGTAGCATGTGTAATGTGTGTAAAGTGTGTAGCGTGTGTAGCATGTGTAAAGTGTGTAAAGTGTGTAACGTGTGTAGCGTGTGTAACGTGTGTAGCATGTGTAAAGTGTGTAAAGTGTGTAGCGTGTGTAACGTGTGTAGCGTGTGTAACGTGTGTAGCATGTGTAATGTGTGTAACATGTGTAGCGTGTGTAACGTGTGTAGCATGTGTAATGTGTGTAACGTGTGTAGCATGTGTAATGTGTGTAAAGTGTGTAGCGTGTGTAGCATGTGTAAAGTGTGTAACGTGTGTGTGTAACGTGTGTAGCATGTGTAAAGTGTGTAAAGTGTGTAGCGTGTGTAACGTGTGTAAGGTGTGTAGCGTGTGTAACGTGTGTAGGATGTGTAAAGTGTGTAAAGTGTGTAGCGTGTGTAACGTGTGTAAAGTGTGTAACGTGTGTAGCGTGTGTAATGTGTGTAAAGTGTGTAACGTGTGTAACATGTGTAACGTGTGTAGCGTGTGTAACATGTAAAGTGTGTAAAGTGTAGTGTGTGTACGTGTGTAACGTGTGTAGCATGTGTAAAGTGTGTAACGTGTGTAGCGTGTGTAACGTGTGTAACGTGTGTAACATGTGTAAAGTGTGTAACGTGTGTAACATGCGTAGTGTGTAACGTGTGTAGCGTGTGTAGCGTGTGTATTGACTGATGTGCTGTTGTCCCAGTGTTGGAGGAGGTGTGAGGCTGGCTGCAGTCTCAGACATGGAGCCCGTACAGCCTCAGTTCCACCTGGATCTCTGGACTCTGTTCCTGCTCCAGTCCTGGACCCTGGATCTGGGACGGGCCGTCGTCATGGTAACTGCACTTCTAATCAGCTCAGTGTGGGCCAGAAGGCACTCCTTCTATAATGAATATGGACACGTGTGAAAAGGTCCAAGCTCCTGTGCAGCTCTGGGCCAGAGGCTGAAGCACTGCCCACAGAATTAACCTCTCATCATTAAAGATGATTTCACATCAAATGTCGAAATAAAATTACTCAATTCAAACTGAAGCGGTCTCTGAACCCTTTGGAGCACACAGGAATATTTAGACTCTTTGTAAAGCTAAGACTGTAGTTTTGGTCTCTATTGTCTGCTGGTAGGTCTGCTGCGGTAACTACTATATCAACTTATCCTTCAATGTGAAAGCAGGAACTGTACTCTACTGTACTGTGTACTGTATTGGGGCTCAGTATTTATCAATATTTAACAGAATGTTTAGCATGGATTATCTTGCATTATTGCATTATTGTAAAACATGCTACACAGGTCTCCAGGAAAAACAGCTGACAGCTAAGGTCAATTAAATAAAATTAATCAATGAAACTGTCCAGGGACGACAGGTGGAAATGAGCACTGGAGCTACAACCTGCTACAAACATCTCTCCTGTTAAGGTTCATGTAGATTGTGCACTGTCCCTGTCTCATTAAATAAATAAACTAAACTTTTTTTTTTTTTATTGTGTCACTTGCATAAAGTAGTTATTCAGTATTATTGCCGTTTATCGTTGTATATCTCTGTAACAATATACTGTGCTTCTTCATATGTTCTCGTGACAGACTAACCAAGATCCCAACTGGGATTCTGGTGGACAAAAAGTAAAAAAGCAACAACGATGAGCTAAAAATTGAAATTTTATATTGTTTGATATTCCAATTCCTTTAAACTGGCCCAAGCAGGATAATAAAAAAAGGTAAAACTGCAGTTGGGAGATAAGAAAAGTAAGAAAGAATATTTGTTGGTTTTTGACAAGTTTAATTTCAAAGCTGGAGCTTTTACAACAAAAAATGAGATTTAGGGATTGGTACAAAAAAGGGCAAATTCAAAGACTTAGTTTGTATTTGTGGGTTTGGACTCCAACATTTATCAAGATTATTTCCAAATTTAGTCCCAGTTCAGTCCCAGTTGTGATGTGGTCTATGGGCAAGTGTGAACACAACCCGACAGTACCACTTATGACTGACCTCCACATGATTTTACCTGTGATCCCTAAATGAAAATCCTGCTTATCTTTCAGTGGCTGTTTCCTTTTGGTTGGTTTCCTCTGAATCGCCCTGGTCCAGCAGAGTTTCTCCACCTGCTCTACTGCTGCAGCTCTCCTCTCGTTCTCTTCAAGGTACAGTGCATCTACTGTGTATACTGCTTATACTGCATATACTGCTTATACGTAATATACTGCTTATACGTAATATACTGCTTATACTGCATATACCGCATCTACTGCACATACTGCTTATACTGCATATCCTGCATGTACACCATCACACTATCAATAAAGGTCACTCTCTCAATTATTTGACCAAAAACTTGACAAAAATGTATCTCTCTATTTAATTTTTCATGTTTGTGTGTGGTTTATTTTTCTATATTGGTGTTTTTGTACAAGTTTTGTATGAAACAAAAAAAAAAAACTTCGAACAAAACATGATAATATGAAATAATTCTAGGAAATACTGACACAAGAAATCAGTTGGAAACTTCAAATATCATGTGGCCTAAATGAACAAATATAATTCTATAAAAAGCTCACAGGATATTGTGCCTGACTAAAGGTAAAAAAGCAACAACAAAAAGTAAAATGTGAAACTGTGACATTCCAGTTCCTTGAGCGCTGCCCGAGGACTTTACCTGACTGCCTGGTTCACCTGGGCATCACCGTGGTCGCCATGGGAACCACAGCTCACCTGGTGACGGACTCTGTGATGCTGCGATTGGTCCAGGCAGGATACGAGCTGCACCTGTCAGTCCGGGAGAACGAGATTATGAAAAACCTCACAACGTTACAGCTGGTCAGTCACAACATTTTACTGCTTCATAATGAACTACTGAACCATTATTTCACACCATTTCAATTCATTATTTTTGGCTTTTTTTGTGTGTGTGTGTGTGTGTGATCCTCCTCCTCACTCCTACTTCTATCAAACCAAAGCTGGTACACTGTCTGAAAGCAGTAATGTTGACAGCATCTAGTGTTGGTAGATGTGGTATGTGGGAATACATGCATCCTGAATTTTGGACTTCCGGTCATCCTGCAATGCATACTGGGAAGGGTCCTCCAAAAAAGTGATCATCAACCTGCCATGTTTGTTTTCCCAGTGGGATGTGTCTATTGACAAAGTCGATCTTTTCAAGTCTTTTGAACCATTTCACTTTTGTTTCTGGTTCTGATATTATCATATTTTAGTTTTAGAATTCGGACATCGTCATTGTGTGGTTGTTGGATCGTAACAGCGGAAAATGGCTCGAGAAATGTGTTTGCGAACTCCATAGATGCAAAAGTGAATCAGATGTGTGTGACTGCAAACCTATGTTCAAACTGTTTCTCTTCCCAACGGAATTGAAAAATAGTAAAAGGTGAAGGCGTTGGGCAGGATTGATCCACAGATAGGACCAAAAAGGAAACATTTGACTGCCTAAATCATCCTGAGTTTACAATGAACATTTTGTATGTGGAGCCATCAAAGCAAAACCCCGATCCCTCGGTCAACCTAGGTTACGAATTTAAAAAGTCAACGCCAAAGCAAAAGGCACCAACTGTTCACCAAGAAACACCTTCCACTGCAAAGAGACCAAGATGTGATGTTTCTGTAAAACCACAAGTACAAGAAAGTGCAGCTCAGTCTGTTTGTCTTCTGCTCCTCTCACTTAACAAACGGGATCCCACTTTGTTGTCGCTCCACATACAACATGTTCACTGCAAACTCGGGATGATTTAGGCAACCAAAGATTACCTTTTTGGTCCTTCCCGTGGATCAATCCTGCCCATCACCTTCACCTTTCACTATTTTTCAATTCTGTTGGGAAGAGAAAGAGTTTGAACGGAGGTTTGCAGTCACACACATCTGATTCACTTTTGCATCTATGGAGTTCGCAAACAAATTTCTTGAGCCGTTTTCAGGATCCAAGAACTCGCAATTAACGATATCTGAATCACAAAACTAAAATATGACAATATCAGAACCAGAAACAAAAGTGATATGGTTCAAAAGACTAGAAAAGATCAACTTTGTCAATAGACACATCCCACTGGGAAATCAAACATGGCAGTCTTTTGAACCATATCACTTTTGCTTCTGGTTCTGATATTGTCATATTTTAGTTTTGGGATTCAGACATTGTAATTGTGTGGTTGTCCGGAAGTCCCAAATTCGGGATGCATGTATACAACACAAGCAGAAGCCTAATTAATACTTGCAAATATAGTTAGATTTAATGCCATACTGTGTAACATTCTAGACAAAGTAATCAAATCTACAAGTGCAATCAGAGACATCAACCTGGTCCTCATGAGGCGTCAGTGGGTCAGTTCATCAGCACAGAAGCAGTTTATGAGGAGCTCAGCCCATATTACATGATCATTATATCCACAATGTAATGTGTGTATGTGTACAGGCCCATGAACATTAGTGTGATGTTGGTCACACATGAGAATGTGTGTGTTTACTAGTGTGGAACCAAAATGTCATTCTTCATGAGTTGTGTGTAAGTTAGTTATGTGACTGTAGATCAGTGTATTGAAAACAGAAAAACAAGAAATGGAAATTATTTTTGTTCCAATTAGAATTTTCACAGCTACACTGAAAGAGAAAGAAACTGTTATAATTAGTGATTATCTGGAAAGCTATGAATATTTGACTATACAAATGCAGAGAATTATAAATGGATAATAATTTTTCTGAGATTTTGAGACACTCCCGTTGCTCGAGCTCCATCCTTCGAGAAGTTATGACCAAAAACGCATATTTGACCTTGGTTACCTTGATCTTCAAGTGACCTCGACCAGTTTCAACGTGTAACATCCAGTGTGTCCCGGTTATGTGTGCCAACTTGTGTGATGATTGGGTGAATGTTTTAGTTCGCAGATGGTTCAGAATTTGCCGAAATTGCCTAAATCCTTTATAATGGTGTTACCTTTCAATTGACCTCAGAGGGCTTGACCCACGTACCAAATTTGGTGACAATCGGTTCACAAATGGCGGAATTATTAAGGGTGGACAGACATACACACACACAGGATGAATCTAAAACCTGGTCAATCCTTCAGGGACCAGATAATGAGACATGAAGGAAGTGGAAATTACATTGTGCACCTTTTTTTTGTCCCTACAGGTCGATGTGTTTGAGCTCCTGGGTTACTATGACGACACAGTGGGCCATGTGATGTGGTGAGTGGACATGATCCGTAGCCTTTTACTCTGAGCTGTTTGCCCACTAACACCACGCTCTCAGATTCTACACTCGACCACTTCTTATGTCCTCTGGGTGGGTCTCCTTTCACAATCCAACAGCCCCGTAATCCTGAGTTTCATTATTAAAAGTCCTAATCAGAAACCCAACGTCAAATTCTATCTTCAAATTGACCATGCCACCGCCGAGACACTTCAGCTTCATGAAACGTGTAATTGCTTGTGCTGGTAAACATTGTCGAAGCAGACTCCCGTCACTCAAGAGCTACCACGAAAATGAAATGTCAAACAGAAAAAGTGGGTGTTGAGTGTTTGGAGCAGATCAGAGCGAGGCTGGTGTGTGTGAGGGCCGGACCGGTGTGTGTTTGTGGTGATAAGGAGAGCACGGGAACACAGCACTGTTCAAATGCCAACACATCACTGCTTCATTTTGACCGCTGGAGTTTCATCACAAATGACAGGATTTTTATAGCAGCGTCACATGCAGTACTAAAATATATTTATATATAATATCAGAAAGAAACTTAGTGGTTCATCTCATCTCTTCATGCAAATGTTATTGTTATTCTAGAAAAGTTCCACAGTGTGACATTAAACTTATCTAGCATGGTGACACCAGCTCGCCAAGTTACAGGTCACTATGTTACTAGGCTCACAGTCAAAATGCATGTTTTTCAAGAGATTAAAAACACCTGACATATAACTACAGTATTTTTCAGACAATAAGTCACACTTTTTTCATGGTTTAGTTGGTCCTGCAACTTATACTCCAGTATGACATATATATATATAAAAATGTTCACACAAGAGGGCGCTCTAGTCTTGTGTGTCAGTATCTGCTACTACTGTACCTCTGTCACTTTGTCCTTTACTGCACATGTCTCCTGCAAAAAAAAGCATTTGTCCTGCTGCAAGTAGTGAAATATTCAGCTGAAAACGGTAATCGAGCAGAAAGAAAGTCTGGAGTGAGCGAGGGACTGGCAAAAGGCAGGGATGGAGAAGCAACCATGACAGCTTCATGGAAGATGCACCATGAAACTTTCCTGAAGTCACTGGGTGGATGGACAAAGCCTGGACTTCAGTGACACCGAAACCATCCTGTCAGGATTCAGAAAGACCCAAATAATTCTAACTGGAACTGATGTTGAGTCTGACGACAGCGACACAGAAGAGGAAGCGGTGATCTGTTTACCTCTGGAGGTCGAGGCCGAGTTGCTCAGAAGTGACACCGAGGTTGAAGAATTGAATGGATTTAGTGACAGTCTGTTGTTCTCTCTTCTATTCTTATTACTAGAACTTGACTTTCAACAGGAAATGTCGGTTCCTGGTCTCTGATTTTATAAAATCCTTTTACCCCAAAAAGTGCGACTTATAGTCTGGTGCCACTTATATATGTTTTTTTCTTCTTCATTACACAATTTTTTGGCTGGTGCGATTTACACTCCGGAGCCACTTATAATCTGCAAAACACGCTTCATATGTAATGCTGTATTGTGGAACATTCCAGTCAAAATGATAACATCAGGAGTGCTTGTTTGTACTTGAGTGACATTTTTAGCCATTTAAATTCTCATTTTGGTTTTATTGTTTCTTTTAGAGGTTGCTAGAGCTAACCAAATGCAAATTCTATGTGAAGTGTTTTGCAGTGTCATAATGTTCTTGGAGGATTATAGATTGTGTACATATATGGGCATTCCGCCTCCATCGACATTGGATCCAATACACTTTGTATTGAAAAAACGTCGCCCCTCTCTGTTTTTTTATTTTGAGTTTTTGGGCCATAAATCAATTCCTTTTCCTCATATGGATCTGGAGCTGAACTTCACGGGTGACTTCACATTCTCTTAGTTCACTTTTTATACATTGTCTTTGGTAAGGATAGAACCACTGTCTCTTTGTTTGGTGGGCATATGCTTAAAGTACCTGATTTGTATTGTCTAATGTGAAAGCGAGTTCATTGAACCTGTTAGCAGTTGTGAGATGGTCCAGCAGTGGTTCAGTGTAGAGAAGGTTTTGATGGTGGACGGCTCTAACCATTTTACAATCTCGTCCAAACTGGTTCTTCACTTTCGTCACACATTCGTACCATCTTAAATATTCACCATGAAGAGTTCAGCACTTTTCAGAGGCCAGAGCAGAGTTTTGTCATTGCTAACAACAACTAGTCCACTAACAGCGCACTTCCTGCTGCACAGAAAATAAAAATAGGCAATGGACAAAAATTGGATACAACGACTATAACCCACTGAACCACCATTGCCCCAGTAATTTTATTTAACATATTTGTGTCTGTGTTTTACAGGTCTGTCCCATACTTCCTGGTGCTGTTCCTTTACTTTGGAGGATGTTTTTGTCACAAAAAACAAGAGCAGAAAATGCCTAGAGTCGCCTGGATCCTCGTGCTGCCAAACACACTCTACATCTGGTCAGAACTGTCACCTTTTGTTCAAGTTACAGTACAGGTGCTCTACCTAATGCCTAGATTAAAAACATGAAAAACTAAGAATTAGATCATTTTAAACAGTTTGCAGTGGTCCAAAGTTATTTTTCACATTCCTATAAACTCTTACAGGCCAGAGCAGAGTTTTGTCATAACTGTAACAACAACTAGCATGCTAACAGTGCACCAACTTTACTTCTTGGTTCATGGACGAAAAAAACACAATTAGATGGAGATGTGGTGGGTCGGTATCTCAATCACAGACTGTTGTTAATTATATTATTATTAAATATATGGGCCCGGTCAAGCAGAAGTAAACATCAAGGCCAAAAATTCAAGTTAATGCATCTGATATAAAAATGTATTGAACAGATATATATGTACTCTAGTTTATGAAACTGTTGACCTTTTTTCTGTATCATTTTTGGTTCTAAAGTTCCATATGTTTTAAACAGACCATGTATGAAACATGGAACAAAAATTATTTCCCAAATTTCAAAGACCTGCAAATCATGTAAATAAATGGATGTATTTCATCATATCTTGTGTTATTCCATCTTTGAACTGTTGATGAAGGTACAAAGATAAAAAAAAAAAAAGTATTTAAAATGATAAAAATGTTCTTGGAAGGACTGACATATTTTATAGAAATAGTTTCCTTTCATTTTGAAGTAATATTAAAGTATTCGGAAGAAAAAAAGTTGACAAATGATGTAAAATCCTGCACCTTCTACTTGTTTGCACAATTTTCCCTCCGTTACTTTTCCCTCCGTTACCATGACCTTTCTTAATAAAAAATCTCATGACTCAAAAAGTAAGAGTTTTTTCAACCTAATCTTGTACCATATGGTAGAAAACTATATGAAGCAAATATTCAAACCAGTTTGTTAAGGATATGTAAGTGAGAACCAAGAGTTATCACTGTTTGGATTTATTGCCCAAAAAGTGCTGCATATTTCATTCCCTCTGTTACCGACATGAGTTTTAAAATTTTTTATCAACAACTTGAAAGAATATCACAGGTTTAACTTGACCCTGTTGGAGTGTAACTCTTTCCTACATTCTGATACTTTACTTATTTCAATAGTCCCTCTAGTTTCTGAATAAGAGACATTTGAATGTCAAAAATCTGCCCCTGTTTCCCTCCGTTACCACTTGACCGGACCCAATTCCAAATGTTCTGTCCACTTCCTTTCAGAGCTTTTCCGATGCTTGTGCTGCTTCCACACATGTATTTTCATATTAAAGCATTTGACCAATCACATTTCAGCTGTCACTTGTTGCTAGGCAGAGTCAAAGTCCTAGAAGTGTATCTGAGGCCTTCACAATCTGTTCTGCAGGAACTCGAACACAAAATAAATGTCTATGAAACTTTTCAACCAACCAGATTTTGAGTTGGTGTCACCAGGACCTTTAGCAGTGAACGACATCACCAGATTCAGAGCAGCTGATTGGACAGTCAGAGAGTGAACCAGCCAAAACAGCAAACTGCATCTGTAGCAGAATCAGGACTAAACCAGGACTAAACCAGGACTAAACCAGCACTAATCTTGGACTTGAGAGAGAGCAAGAGAAAGAACCCCGAGCCCATGGAGCAGGCGACAGCTGCACTGAGCACCCTGCGGCGTGGAGCCAAGCCTCGTGCGGCCCCCTGTGATCACAACAAAGAGCCACCTCCTATGGAGAGCTACACATCGTATTAGCGAACAGAGGATTTTTTTTCCTTTGAACCAAGATCATTATGTGATGTTATCAAATCCTACCTGTATCACCAATTAAGAATGTAAAACTGGAGAAAGACGTGTGTACAGAGCAGAGAGTGTGGTGGTGGTGGTGGTGAAAATGGAAGCTGACTGGCAAAATGGTATCTTCAAAATAAATGATTAAGGATGACTCAAATATGCACAGTTCACTCCAAATAGAACTTGGAAAGGGAAAATGAGGAGGGGAAACAGCGATAAAATGGTTAAAGGCTCTGAAAAGTTGCAGAATATGTTTGCTTTCAATCCATACTTCAGAACATTATGGAGATAAGTTTAACAAGTTTAACGCTATACTGTGGAACATTATATAACAACATTTCCATGGAAACAAGCAAGTGGAGGTCCTACTACCAGGCCAATTATGAGTCAGGTTTGTGGAGATGCTTCAGGACAATAAAATAAAATGTAAAAACATATTTCTTGACTGTAAAGTTACACACTGTGACTCAACTAAACCCAGACTAACCGAGCACAACTCTGACAGAGACTATTAGCCCAACGGGAGAGTCACACTCGTCTACCTGTGAACTCTGGTCTTATGTAAGGAGAGCACATAGAAGGATGCAGAGGACACATCAGCCGTGATCTTTTTTCTCTACATAGTGTTTCTAAAAATAACCCCACAGCGCCTCAGAGCTGCTTCAATAACCTTGACGACTTAATGAATGTAATTAGAGAAACACATGGGCCACGGTGAATATCCAAACGTGTTAAATTTAATGTACAAAGCGCAGGCCCATTAGTCTTTCACAATGCATGTCACATAAGGACGGCTGCGTTAGCTCCACATGCTAATTAGCGTGTTAGCGTGCCTCAGGTGGTAGAATTAGCATGCAGCTTTGATTCATGACTTTGTTAAACCTGCAGCGTGTTTTTTACTGGGCTCTACACTACACTGACATGATTAGCCCTCCCGGGAGAGTGTGACTAATAAGTTGTAGCTCTTTTAGCGTTATCTGAAAGCCCAAGGTTAGCTAACGCCTGCATGGACGGATGTATCTTATAGTTTGTACATGATAAGAGCAAAATGTACAAAAACAGAGCATGTATATAGAAATGGATATAGCTAACCTGCTAATTGCCGTGTTCCAAATAGGAAGTGAGCATGGGCGTGCACTTTGCATTGAAAAAAACAAACAAACAAAAAAAAAAACAACATTAAGAAAACATGAAATAGCAATATTTATAGTTTTCATTTGACTCGGTTTCTAAATGGCAATGCTCTCACTGGTATAAATCATACCAAGTTGACAGCTCCTTCATTTGTTATTATTGGCTCAGCAACCTGCTTGTCTCCACGGGGATGTTGTTCTTTGCCTGTAATGTTACACAGTATGCATTAAAGACGGTGGGTATTAACTGCTAACACATAATATGTTTAGATCATCATGTTACGTTTTGTTGTTTGAAAATGCTATATTCACATAAACAACATATTAACATGTTTTATTAGTTTCACTTTCATTTTTGATGCTATGAGTCAAAAGTTACTCCCCCTTCAGAGCATTACACATTACACATTACACAGCATCACATTAAATCTACTCCATATAGACAAGTTTCATTGTTGACAAAAGCGCGCGTTGCATGGTGGGAATTATTTTGGTCGGCGGCAAGAAACACTAATTCAACATGACGGACGGAGCGAGAAAGCACGTAAAGGGTATTGATCCCTGTTATTTATCCACTCTAACGACAGAGGACCCAAGACCATTTGACCAGAAATTGGTCATAAGCATCGATGGAGCCAAATCACCCTTTTCAACCCCGACAAAAGGTGGACCAAACCAAATTTCTGGTCAGAATCGCCAGCTACCTGGACAAATGACTTGGTGGAAACTCCTGGGCCATTCACAGCAGAAAAGATGAAAACCTCCAAGAGTCTCGATGTGTTGTTGAACTTGTTAGAGTCCACGGTTTGCTAGGATCTTCTACGTTTGCTCTGCAAATGTTTGAAAGCCATTTAATTCACCGTTAGCAGTTCTTTTCACTCAGAATACGAAAAAGACATTTTCCTTCTTCCGTGCTTCTATTTGTGCGTCCGACAATGCAGCAGGAATTTACCATTATCGGGGAGAAATACATGAGGTTACGCACTGTGTTTGACCACTACCGTGCTTCTTGCCTCCGACCAAAGTATTTCCCAGCATGCAACGCGGGCTTTTAATAACAATGACGTCAGCTGAAACTCGCCTACTGAATCAAGTTTGTGAAGGTGTAGTGTATTGTTGCAAATCATGCTTTTGTATATTTAGAGAAAACCGTGTCGTGTGGGAGCATGGATGATGTAAGCTTGTTCGCTGAGCACTGCACAGAACCTGAAAGCTGGGCTCAGGAGAGATCACTAAATTATTCAAACATGCATGGATGACATTTAAAACCTCTTCAAGCATGTTTTGATAAGGGGGAATCGTTATAATATGGTAGAAAGCTGCAAAAAGTAGATTTTTGCATCATGCCCCTTCAGGTAGAATATCTGCACCTTTTCTTTTTTCACACCCCCTTTTAGATGATATTTTAAAGGGCCCAGATTACTTATCTATCTCCATTTCCATCTCCATCTCCATCTCCATCTCTATCTCTATCTCTATCTATCTCTTCACTTCATGACATCACAAGGTGGAACAGAGCATTTTGAGCTTTTAGATGTAGACAAATTAATAATAAAGGATTATCATATTTTCCAGGCTATTGGACGCGCTCTTAAGCCTCCAAACCCATCAAAAAACGATCGCGACCCACAATCCAGAGCGCCCTATACACAAATCCACTCGGGTGTCCCAGCACGACTTCAGTAAACTACAAAGCCGCAGCACCCGCATTGCACGCAAACACACACGGAGCAGACAGCGACCGCACAACCAAACACACCCACAGACACACTCATCACTCCACGCCGACGAGAAACTGACCGGAAGAACGAACTGAAAAAGCGAGTGCAATGTGCCACTTCTAGACACGACTGAACAACTGAGTCACTGCGAACACGCCGACAATCCGTTGGTCCCAGACAGCACCCTCCCTACACGCCACAACTGAACAAAGCCCAGAGTCACCGTGAACGAACAAACAAAACTACTCACCCATCACACTGTTGTGTTTCCTTTAAAGTCCCACACGGTTTATTTGTGAAAAAAGTTTGAAAATAGACAATTTAATGACAGTGCGTTTTATAATCCAGAGCTCCTAAATACGGTACTTAAACATGTGTGACCTGGTTTA